CTGCAGGACTCAGTAAGCTACCAGAGAAGAAGAGATTGGATTTATACCCTGCCCTTCACTTGGAGTCCCAGAGCAACTTACAATCACCTTCCCTTCCTCTCCCCACAACAGACACCCTGTGAGGTAGGTGGGGCTGAGAGAGTTCTGAGAGAACTGCTCTTAAGAGAACAGCTCTGAGAGAACTGTGACTGACCCAAGGTCACCCAGCTGGCTGCAGGTGGAGGAGTGGGGAATCAAACCCAGTTCTCCCAGATTAGAGTCCGTGTTCCTAACCACTACACCAAGGGTGGCCAAACTGTGGCTCGGGAGCCACATGCGGCTCTTTCACACATACTGTGAGGCTCCCGGCAGGGCAGCTGGGGAAGCGAAGGGAAGGCATGCCTCCCCAATCAGTCTTCTCTTCTGCAGCCAGTGTTCCCCTCCCTGGGTAGGCTTGAGGTGAGGGGGAGCAAAGAAAGAAAGCAACTTTAACTTTAAATGCATCCTCAAAGTCCCCCCCCCCGGCCAGCTTGGAGAACACATGTCTCCTTAAATCCCTTCTCCAAGTCAAGCTGGCTGGCAATGGGGTGTGTGGGGTTTTCTGGAGAACACATTTATTTTTGGCAGTCTCATGTAATGTTAACAAAAAGCAAATTTGCATATTTTTTATAAAGACACGTGTGTAATATTTGTTTGTGTCTTGTGGCTCTCAAACGTCTGACGTTTATTCTGTGTGGCTCTTACATTAAACAAGTTTGGCCGCCCCTGCCCTATATCAAATTGGCTGTCCAGAGAGGTCAGGAAGTTGATTTAACCAAGATGATATAACCAAGCATGGCCTGTAATCAGGCAACACATAACCTTTCAAATGATGTTCACAGACATCGAAAAAGGTACCACTCAGCATAGAAGCTAAATTGAATGGCATTGGATGTCATTTTTGGCCTTCTCCAGTGGGAGATTCTAGGCAATAGATAACCTTGGGGGGCTGGTGAGTTTATTTAGACTTCTCATCCAAATGTTCTGTGCTGCCATTCCTAGGTTATGGTATCATTACTAAGGCCGAATCTGCATTTGCATTTTTAAATCATTTTCGTGCTGCTGTGACATTGTTTTTCTCTATGCTTGTTTGAATGTTGTTTGGAGAAGATTCTTTTAAAGCAGTGTGGAGGTGCAATGACAGTGGAGCCACCCCGAAAGGACGATAAACATATGTGGATGTACAAAAGTATGCTAGCACTCTTGAGGTGTGAAAACGACACCAAATGTAGACAGCTTTTTTGAAGATGGAGTCAAAAGGCTGGGATACTGGTGGGAAAGACAAATGCAGATTCCGCCTAATTCTCTGTTGAGGATTCCCTATGGGGGAGAGAATATGAGACCCCCTTGGGTGATGATCCTGTCTTGAAGCCATCGGCAAAGAGTTTTACTATCAATAAAAACCGAGGGCTGGTTAACACGAATACGATGTACAATAACACAAATAGAAAAGTATCAAGACTAGAATATGCATATTTCTTTTGGCAGACTGATAAAAACCAGAACAAAACATGAAAAGAAAGGAGCCAAGTGTTAAAATGAAGTTACTTAAATTAAGTGAAAGTGAGATTTGATTTCAAAATGATCAACTTTACAAACTCGGGTATTGCTTTATGGGGGCAATCACACCCCCTGGTGGGCAAACTTCACACTCATTTGTGATGAATGTGCCTCGACAAGGGGGACTTAATGAAGGCTGATACAATGAGGTATACTGGGATTTTGAATCATTATTGTTATTTTTGGATGTGTTTAAACAATCCAGACAGCCCCTGCCAATCTCAAGAGAACCCCCTCAGGAAGTCCTGTCAGTTGTGGCCCATCCCATCTTGGGGAACTCTCAAATGCCGTCCACCATTAACTCAGCCGACGCCCTGCCCCCAGTTCAGCATCTTAACCACTTTAGCCCCACACTTTACTTGGAGTCTCAGAGCGGCTTACAATCTCCTTTCCCTTCCCCTCCCACAACAGACACCCTGTGAGGTAGGTGGGGCTGAGAGAGCTCTTTCGAGAACTGCCCTTGAAGAGAACAGATCAGTTTGGTGTAGTGGTTAAGTGCGCGGACTCTAATCTGGGAGAACCGGGTTTGATTCCCCACTCCTCCACTTGCACCTGCTGGATGACCTTGGGCAAGCCATAGTTCTGGCACAGCTGTTCTTGAAAAAGAGCAGTTTCTGTCAGAGCTCTCTCAGGGTGTCTGTTGTGGGGAGGGGAAGGTTCTCTCAGATTAGAGTCCACACTCCTAACCACTACACCAAACTGGCTCTCAGGTCCTTGGTACCTTGACTGTTACATTGAAAATGCATACAGTTTTACAAGAACTCCCCCCCCCAATCTCTCCTTATATATAATTGAATAGTGGGTGCCAAAGTTCTAAAATGCACTCCTTTAGTGTATGGACGCTTGAACTGTCAGTCAGAAGACGCTGGCTGGGTTGACTGGCTGCTTTGTGCAGTCCCGCCCAACGTTTCAAGGTCTTTTGCATATGGAAGCTGATTGGACTTCACTGCATTCCACACCTCAAACTCACCCCCCTCCCCGCAAGGCAGTTGGAATGTCAGTTGCATATGGAACCTTCAAGGTCTTTTGCATATGGAAGCTGATTGGACTTCACTCCATTCCACACCTCATACTCCCCCCCCCCGCAAGGCAGTTGGAATGTCTGGTGGTGTGTAGGTCCCAGGATCATGTTTTAAAAGCTGCCTGGGGGATTATGGACCATTCACACACTTTCAACCTTAACATACCTCATAGGGGGAGAGGAGAATGATGACAGCTGCTTTCCCTAGGCAGAGGCTTGAAGACAGACAGGCAGATAAAGGTTAGGCTGATGGTTGCCTGGAAAGGACATAGGGTTGCCAAGTCTAGGTTGGAAACTTCCAGGATATTTTAGGGATGAAGCCTGCTGAGGGTGGGGTCTGAGGAGGAGGAGGAGGAAGAGGGGGACCTCAGACAGATACAATGCCATACTCCCCACCCTCCAAACAAGCTGTTGCCAGTCTCCAGGGGACAGCTGGAGAGCTCTTAAAGCTCTGGTGCTACTTCAAAGTGCTGCAATTTATCGACAAAGCTGATTGGACTTCACTGCATTCCACACCTCAAACTCACCCCCCTCCCCGCAAGGCAGTTGGAATGTCAGTTGCATATGGAACCTTCAAGGTCTTTTGCATATGGAAGCTGATTGGACTTCACTGCATTCCACACCTCATACTCCCCCCCCCGCAAGGCAGTTGGAATGTCTGGGGGGGTGTAGGTCCCGGGATCAGGTTTTAAAAGCTGCCTGGGGAGAGGGGGACCTCAGACAGGTTACAGTGCCATAGACTCCACCCTCCAACCCAGCTATTTGCTCCTGGGGAACTATTGTTGCCAATCTTGGCCCAGCAGCCATCAAACCATTCTCTTCAACCCCCTGCTGTGCAGCTGACTTTCCCCTAGGGTTGCCAATCTCCAGGTGGGACCTGGAGATCTCCCACTGCTACAATTGATCTCCAGATGACAGAGATCAGTTTCCCCTGGAGAAAATGGCTGCTTTGGAGGGTAGACCCTATGACATTATACCTGCTGAGTCCTTCCGCCCCCCCCCATGCTGCCCTCTACAGAATCCACCCCCCAAACCTCCAGGTATTTCCCTCCTTAGAGCAGGCAACCCTACTTTCCCCTCAGTGCCTGTTGGTAGGCAACTAAGCTTGGTCCTGTCACCTATTATGGTCTTTGGGAGAAAACATATTGGGGCCAATCCTGATAGGGTTGCCAACTCCAGATGGGAAATTCCTGGAGATTTGAGGGATGGAGCCTGAAGAGGGTGAGGTTTGAGGAGGGGTGGGACCTCAGACAGGTACAATGCCATAGACTCCACCCTCCAAACCACTCAGTCCCTCATGGGGAACCATTGTTGCCAATCTCCAGGTGAGGGCTGGAGACCGCTCAAAATTTCAATTGCTCTGCAGAAGGGAGGGCGGAAGTCAGCTCAAGTCAAAGGGGCAGATAATGGTAGGTTGATGGTTAGCTGGGAAGGAGATGGGGTTGCCAACTCCAGGCTGGCAAATTCCTGGGGATTTGAGGGATGGAGCCTGGAGAGGGTGGGGTTTGCGGAGGGGTGGGACCTCAGACAGGTAGAATGCCATAGACTTCACCCTCCAAACCAGCCATTTCATCCTGGGTAACAATTGTTGCCAATCTCCAGGTGAGGGCTACAGATCACTCAAAATTACAACTGCTCTTCAGGGAGCAGAGATCAGTTCCTCTGGAGAAAACAGTGGACTCTGTCATTATACCCTGCTGAGGTCACCACAGCAAAATGACACTGTTTGCCCTAAGCCAGAGCACTCCCCCAGAGCCTCTTTCTAGATTTCGTTGTATTTATTTCCACAACGGGCTTTACTGCTAGTTTTAACATATTTCAATCAGGAGTCTCTCCATTCTTAAGAAACCAAAGGTCGAAGTGAATTAAGGGGTTGTTATATCAAGTCAACCATTCACATTCATTTCCTGACTGACAACCTGACCAGTGTTCATGTACTTGGAATGTTAAATAGAAACAAATCAGGTGATTCACAGATTAAGATGTTGTGCTTCGGTACTTATGCCAAGGTGACTCTGTGAGCCTGTGTTTCCCAAAGCCAAAGAAACGGCAGGCCAACAAAAGTAAACTGAACCTGTGGAACTCTCATAGCCATTTAAACGCAACACAGATCCGGTTTCTTGATCCCACCCTACTCCCCTGGCTCACAGTCTGGCCTTTTACTTAGATGGCATCATTAGCAACGATAGAGGAGCCAGACTGTCAAGCGGGAAAAGTGCAGAAACCTGGGCCGCTTTATGGGTCCTGGTGGTAGCAGTTGCATCTTCTTGTTCTACAACGTTGTGAGTCGTCTCAAGCGTGGGCAGATCAGAAATATTTCAGGCAAATAAACACATTTTTGAAAGCACAGAATATTGCAACAGTGATATTGTTGGAAAGTAAAATGTCCAAACTATGCAGCTAAGTTTGAGTTTATTGCTTGGTATGTTGTAATGAATGCTTTGGCTAGGACAGCAGAATCAAAATGCAAAAATGAGACGCTGATTGTAAATTTATAGGCAGGGAACAAACAGCTTGCAGGCTCATCAGCTCCCCAGTGGTATTTATGGCTTGCATTTCCGAGAGAGACATTCACAGCGTCTGGCATTAAAGACTTCGTGCTGTACTATGGAGCCATTGGGACAGTGGAGGGGCACCTGCATCGAGTCCATCGCGGTGGCAGAACAGCAAGAGCACTGGTCTTCAATGCTGTGTGCTGTAATGTCGTAAACGGCTTTGCTGGGACATTTGCCCTGAAAGTGAAAGAAGAAATCTTTGGCTTCTGTGACACTAACAACATTCTGAGCTCCAGATTCTGCACAAGAGCAACTTAAGTGGCCCTTTGAGTCCGATGGCGATGATTCTAAGCTTAAGTGGCCCTTTGAGTCCGATAGCGATGATTCTACCATTCAGGGAACCTGGACCATATATGCCTCTATCGACTTAGTAGTAAAATTTATTGTATAGCCATTGGCCATTACAATTTACAATTTAAATTTAAACAATACACAAATTAGACAACTTACAGTACTGGAATTTGAATTAGATTTAAAATATAGTAACCTCTAAAATCTGCACATTCAGTATTTAAAATAATTAAAATCTTAAATATAGATACCCGTCTCCAGAAACACATACACAGCCTCAAACATTGCTGTTTTACATTGCCATTTTACAGTTCAATTTCATTTCATTTTCCTATGTACTTGGCCCTGATTTTACTACGCGCTAAGACAAAGAGTGCTGCCCTATAGGAAACTGTAGGGTCTGCGTCTGACAGCAGAAATATTAATTTATCGGTGTCAGGAATTTTTTACAATTGATCTATTATTGCAGTCAAGAATTTACATCTCGGTTCCCAGTACATCCACTATCTACTTGGGCACCATGAATTTTGGAAATGCCATCTTGTGATTGAGTTGGAATTAGGGATGTGCATTCGGTTTGTCCGAACCGAATGCACCCCCAAAAATGACCCATTCGGGCCCCTTACGGGCTGCTGCGGACCAATTCTCTGATCTGAATCAGCTTGCCGCCGAAATTCGGCAGCAATCTGGTCCCATTATATCCTATGGGCCATTAAAGTCAATGGCAAAAACATACGGTATATTCTGGGGACTGGAGGGGAGGCCAGTTTCAGCCAATTGCTGCATGCATGTACAGCATTCAAGGTTGGTGGTGTTGCTTTGCACACCACCTTCCTTGCTTGGGAGGGGGGAGAGAGAGTCAACTCTACCCAACTCTACCCTGGCCTGACCTGCTGCATTCCTGGACTTCTGGTTGCACCATCAATTTACACAGGGCAAGGCCTGTATAAATGTTTTTCCTGTTGGTCTTTTGGGGTTAGAACATAAGAACATAAGAGACGCCAATGTTGGATCAGGCCAAAGGCCCATCCAGTCCAACACTCTGTGTCACACAGTGGCCAGAAATACCAGTGCCATCAGGAGGTCCACCAGTGGGGCCAGGACATTAGAAGCCCTCCCACTGTTGACCCCCCCCAAGCACCAAGAAGACAAAGCATCACTTGCCCCAGAGCCCCTATCTATACCTTGTGGCTAATATCCACTGATGGACCTCTGCTCCATATGCTTATCTAATTCCCTTTTGAAGCCGTCCATGCTTGTAGCCTCCACCACTTCCTGTGGCAGTGAATTCCATGTGTTAATCACTCTTTGGGTGAAGAAGTACTTCCTTTTATCCATTCTAAACCGACCGCTCTGCAGTTTCATGGAGTGCCCACGAGTTCTTGTATTGAGAGAAAGGGAGAAAAGTACCTCTTTCTCTACCTGCTCTTTCCCATGCATAATCTTATAAACCTCGATCATGTCACCCCTCAGTCGTCTTTTCTCCAAGCTAAAGAGCCCTAAGCGCTTTAACCTTTCCTCATAGGGAAAGTGTTCCAACCCTTTTATCATTCGAGTTGCCCTTTTCTGCACTTTTTCCAAAGCTATAATATCCTTTTTAAGGTGTGGTGACCAGAACTGCACACAGTATTCCAAATGAGGTCGCACCATTGATTTATATAGCGGCATTATGATATTGGCTGATCTGTTTACAATACCCTTCCTAATAATCCCCAGCATAGCATTGGCCTTCTTTATTGCAGTCACACACTGTCTCGACATTTTCAGTGAGTTATCCACTACAACTCCAAGATCTCTCTCTTGCTCAGTCTCTGCCAGTTCAGACCCCATCAATGTGTATTTATATTTAGGATTTTTGGCTCCAATGTGCATCACCTTGCACTTGGCCACATTGAACCCCATTTGCCATGTTGACGCCCACTCGCCCATCCTTGACAGATCCCCTTGGAGTGCCTCACAATCCTCACTGGTTTTCACCACCCTGAACAACTTCGTATCATCCGCAAATTTAGCCACTTCACTGCTTACTCCCATCTCCAAATCATTAATGAACAAGTTAAAAAGCAGTGGACCAAGTACTGATCCCTGCGGTACCCCACTGCTTACCACCCTCCACTGAGAAAATTGCCCACCTACACTCACTCTCTGTTTTCTATGAACTAGCCAGTTTTTGATCCATAAAAGGACTTGTCCTTCTATCCCATGATTTTTGAGCTTACTTAGGAGCCTTTGATGAGGAACTTTATCAAAAGCTTTCTGGAAGTCAAGGTAAATAATATCTATTGGATCCCCCTTGTCCACATGTTTGTTCACCCCCTCAAAGAACACTAACAGGTTAGTGAGACAAGATCTTCCCTTACAGAAACCGTGCTGAGTCTGCCTCAATAGGTTTTGTTCATCTATGTGCCTACTAATTCTTTCCTTAATAATGGTTTCCACCAATTTACCCGGTATCGACGTCAGACTGACTGGCCTGTAATTTCCCGGATCTCCTCTGGAACCCTTTTTAAAGATGGGAGTGACATTAGCTACCTTCCAATCCTCAGGAATGGAGGCAGATTTTAAGGAAAGATTACATATCTTTGTCAGGAGATCTACAAGTTCACATTTGAGTTCTTTCAGAACTCTCGGATGTATGCCATCTGGGCCTGGTGATTTTTCAGTTTTTAAGTTGTCTATCAGTTTTAGGACCTCCTCTCTCGTCACCTCAATCTGACTCAGGTCTTCCAACACCCCTCCTGAAATCAGTGGTTCTGGAGTGGGCAAGCACTTCTCATCTTCCACAGTGAAGACGGAGGCAAAAAATGCATTTAGCTTCTCAGCCATTTCCCTATCATCCTTCAATACTCCTTTTACCCCTTGGTCGTCCAAGGGCCCCACTGCCTCCCTGGCTGGTTTCCTGTTTCTAATGTATTTGAAGAAAGTTTTATTGTTGGTTTTTACGTTTTTTGCTATATGCTCCTCATATTCCCTTTTTGCCTGCCTGACCTCAGACTTGCATTTTATTTGCCATAGCCTGTGTTCCGTTTTATCAGCCTCACTGTGACTAGCTTTCCACTGCTTAAAGGAATTCTTTTTACTTTTTACAGCCTCCATTACTCTGTTTGTTAACCATGCAGGCTTTTTCCTATACCTGTTTGTGCCTTTCCTAACCTGCGGAATATATATTTTTTGAGCTTCTAGGATCGTAGTTTTAAATAGATCCCAAGCTTCCCCAATTGTTTTGACCCTTTCTACTTTTCCTTTCAGTTTCCTCCCCACGTGTCCCCTCATATCAGAGAAATTACCCCTTTTAAAGTTAAAAATGGTTGTGTGAGTCTTTTTGGCCAATTCTCTATTTGTACAAATGATGAACTCAACAACATTATGATCACTGTTTCCAAGCGGTGCAATCACTTTTACATCTCTCACCAGGTCTTGAGTGTTACTTAGGACCAAATCAAGGATCGCCTCTCCCCTGGTAGGTTCCGTGACCATCTGCTCCATAGCACAGTCATTTAGAGTGTCTAGAAACTCAATCTCTTTTTCCCGACTAGAACACATATTGACCCAATCAATGTGTGGGTAGTTAAAATCACCTATTATTACACAGTGTTTTTGTCTAGTTGCTATCTTTAAGGCATTCATCATTTTATAATCCTCCTCTATCTTTTGATCTGGTGGGCGATAACAAACTCCCAGTGTTAAGTTTCCTTTTGGCCCCCCTATTTCAACCCATAGAACTTCCAGAAGCGAATCCAATTCACTTAGCCTCTCAATCTTTCTAGACTTTATACCCTCTCTGACATACAGAGCTACCCCACCTCCAACCCTTCCCCCCCTATCCTTCCGATATAATATATAACCGGGAATCACTGTGTCCCACTGATTTTCCTCATCCCACCAAGTTTCAGAAATACCCACAATGTCTATTTTTCCCTCCGACACCAAGCACTCCAACTCCCCGATTTTACCTCGGACACTTCTAGCATTTGTATAGAAACAGCTGTAATTTCCCTTACAAGTTAAGCCTGCATCCTTCCTCTTGCTATCTCGAGTCGTTGTCCGGCAGTCCATGTCACCAGCCATGGCCTCTGTGGACAATTTCAATCCACCTCCCTGTAGAAAAGCAACCGGTACCCCCTCACCTCTCTCAGATGAGCCAACCCGAACCAGAGACTTTTCATCTCCTGTCGGCTTTCCCCCAATATTCAGTTTAAAAGCTGCTCTGCCACCTTTTTGATTTTAAGTGCCAGCAGCCTGGTTCCTTCTCGGGACAAGTGGAGACCGTCTCGCCTGTACAGCTCCCTCTTGTTCCAAAAAGTATCCCAGTGCCTAACAAACCTGAACCCTTCCCCCCTACACCATCGTCTCATCCACGCATTGAGACTCCTGATCTCTGCCTGTCTCTCCGGCCCTGCGCGTGGAACAGGTAACACTTCTGAGAAGGCTACCTTGGAGGTCCTGGACCTAAGTTTCCTGCCCAGCAGCCTAAATTTCTCCTCCAGGACCTCACGACTGCATTTCCCCACATCGTTGGTGCCGACATGCACCACGACCACTGGCTCCTCCCCAGCACTATCTACCAGCCTATCTAAAACACGCGTAATGTCCGCTACCTTCGCACCAGGCAGGCAAGTCACCATACGGTCAGTACGCGGGTTCGCCACCCAGCTGTCTACCTGCCTAAGGATCGAATCACCCACTACCAAGAGCCCCCCTCCCACCCTGCTCAGGGATGGTTCCTTGGTGCAAAAGGAGAGCCGCTCACCAGCTGGGGAAGAGGTCCCTTCTGAGGGCACATTCCCCTTATCCTCAGCATGGTGCCCTGTTTCCCCTAGACCCTCATGCTCCCTGACAGCAGCGGGGCTGCCAGATCCAGAGTGGGACGAAGCTAACAAGTCCCCGAGAGTCTTTTCTGTGTGCCTAGCTGACTGTCTCTGCTTCTCCAGGTCAGCCACCTTGGCCTCAAGGGAGCACACACGTTCCCTGAGAACCAGGAGCTCCTTGCACCGAGCACACACCCAAGACTTCTGCCCGGTGGGCAGATAGTCATACATGTGACACTCCGTGCAAAACACTGGATAGCCCCCAACCCCTTGCTGGGGGGGGGGGCACTGCCACAGTGCCACTTGTTCTGGAGTGTGCCACTTGTTCTCATGGCAAACAAGCACCTCCCAAGACAGTTCACTTTCCCTGAGATTCTCTGGGAGAGTCTGGCTGCTTGATGCCGCCTGCTTGCCTGCCTTAAGTGCTGCTGGCTGGGTTTCCCCATTGGAAACAATGGAGGTAATGGGGTAACCTGTTTGTGTGCCCATAGAATCGAGCCCACTGGTCCAATTGCTTTGGTACATGGGGGTTTATGTGGGAAGAGGCTCCTGACGCTACCCTGAAAATTTGGAGCCTCTCCCTCAAACCCCCTCCCCCCCCAGCCACTAACAGCACCGTGGGGAAAAATTAACTTTCCCACCATAGAGAACAATGGAGGGGATGGGGGCAACCTGTTTGGGGGCCCGTAGAATTGGACCCCCTGGTCCAATGTTTTTGAAACTTGGTGGGTATCTTGGGGAGAGGCTCCAGTGAGTTTGGAGTCTCTCCCTCAAGTCCCCTCCCCTTCAGCCCCCAGAATATACCCTATGTTTTTGCCATTTACTTCAATGGCCCATAGGATATAATGGGGCTGAAATTGACATTTGGCTGGCCGAAAGACTCTCAGATCTGCTGGTACTAAGGAAACTGACATGCAGGAGTCTTACTGCCACCTGAAATTGATTCTGTCCGATTCGGCGGAATCCGAATGGGCCAAATTATTTTTTTTGCACACCCCTAGTCGGAATCTGCAATAGTTGTTTTTAGGGCTTTTAAACTGTTTTATTCTTTGTTCAGTATATTGTATGTTGTCATCTGCCCTAGGCCTGCTTGCGGGGAGGATGGGATAAAAATCAAATAAATAAATGAACAAATAAAATACAAACTCAGGGAGGAGATAAACTGTCAGGTTGTGATGCAAAATTATTTATCTGCAATTTGGGAGCTGACTTCAGCATTCACACTTGTGCCCCTCACCGCAGGCCCCCCCCACATTCTTCTTTTGTTTGTACTAACCAAGATTTAGCATTAAACATCACAAATCACAAGATGTCATAGTTCCGCTGTACACTGCATTGGTCAGGCCACACCTGGAGTACTGTGTGCAGTTCTGGAGGCCTCACTCCCAAAAGGATGTGGACAGAATGGAGCGGGTGCAGAGGAGAGCGATGAGGATGATCAGGGGCCTGGAGACCAAGCCCTGTGAGGAAAGGCTGAGGGACTTGGGAATGTTTAGTCTGGAGAAGAGGAAGTTGAGGGTGGACATTTGTTCTCCTTAAGTATACGAAAGGGCTGTCTCTTAGAGGAGGGCAGGGAGCTGTTCCTGTTGGCAGCAGAGGACAGGACTCGTAATCATGGGTTTGAATTAAGGGCAGGAAGGTACTGGCTGGATATTCGGAAAAACTTTTTTACAGCAAGAGTTGTGCAACAGCGGAATCAGCTGCCTTGGAGGGTGGTGAGCTCCCCCTCATTGTCAGTCTTTAAGCAGCAGCTGCACAAACAGCTGCTCGGCTGATCCTGCATTGAGCAGGGGGTTGGACTAGATGGCCTGTATGGCCCCTTCCACCCCTGTGATTCTATGATTCTGTGCACTCCTCCTAACCATAATTTCCCACTTAACCAGGTTTTGCAAAATAACTGGTTTAACCCTGGTTTAACATGCTGATTGTGATACAAACTCTGGTGTTTAAGGTGGGCAGCAGCAGTTTGCATGGTGGTTCTGAGGCAGGGTTGCCAACTTACCTGCTTGTGGCAGGAGTCCTCCTGCCAATGGTGCCACATCCCCCACACTTGCTCAATAGAGCCACAAGGGGGGAAATGGGGATGGTGATGGCAATGCACATCCTTTCTGGGTAACCATGTTGATCACTGCTTCCCCTCCCCGTGCCCCACCACAAAAGCTTCTGGGTGTTGAGGCAGTGGCCTGGCAACCTTAGTCACAAGAAGTATTGCAGGTTCTACCACTGAGCACCATTGAAGTTGGGGGCAAACGTGATGCCATGGCCAGAGGACATCAGGAGGTGGCGACAGCATGGCTCAGACCCTTTCTGAGGTGCCCAGGAGTTAGGAGACTCCCTGTGTCCGATCACACGAGCAACTGCTAGGTGTGTGGCCCATGCTGGCATGCACAATCAGTGCATAAGCTGCAAATCTGCTGATGCATGTAACAACCCCTTGCTGAATCTGGGCAACAGACAGATTTATTTTTTCTAAAAAAAAGTTATGCCACCATCTCGCTGCAGACTCAAAGGGGCTAACACCACTGCAATGAGCTGAACAGGCACAAAAGCATATGTCCAACAACAAGATTTTTTAAAAATACAAGATTAAAAAAACCTTAAAAACAATACAAATTTTGCAGAAAGATTAAAAGCAGCTATACCGACGAGAAACAAGCTCGCAGATAAAAACCACCACTAAATCTGACCATTTCCCTATTACATATTTATACACACAAGCAGGTACTTGAAAATTTTAAAACAATTAAAGCCGAACATTAAAACAAAATTCATTCACAGGTAAAAGCACCAGGTGCAGCAAAAGTCCGAGCTGCTAATGCTCAGAATCAAGTTTTCACAGTTGTGTCAATATTTTCCTGGAAAAGCTTAGTCTGTTGACACAAAGATAGCACTGCGATTCAAAGGCTTCTTAATGGCCAATTAATTTGAGGGCTAATTGCTTGAATACTTTCCATGTTGTGCAGGCCTCCACCATTATGCTGGGTTGTGCAAAAGATATAATGCGCTTTTATTGAATTTAAGAAGTCTGTTGTCTGTTGCTGTATTGTTAGAGATGGATGAGTGGAGAGAGAAAGGGGCATTACTTTTCCATAAAGGAAACAGGACCTACTGCACGGAAGGTGAATGGACCCTGGTGTTTGGGATCTGTTGCCAGTGTGTACCAAAACGTGCCGTGCATTGACTCCGAAAACAGCCTACCCTTTTGGTTGGCTTTTCAAAAAATAAGGGTAGCTTACCTCACAGTAATGGATATTCAGCTGGCTTACAGTGATACAGTCGCCCACTTTAACATACTCCAGCCTGCCAGTGACTTGTTTGCACTCTGGTTCCACACCTAAAAAGGCAAGAACAGAAGTTCCCTGAGAACATCTGGAGAAAAAGACACACCAGGGATGGTTCTCCAGCCAAGACAGAGAGGTGATTAAATAAAGCCTACCCCCAACCTCCCACCTCTGTTATTCCAAGGAGGGCTTCCATCCAAGTACTTGCCAGAGTTGACCCTGCTTAGCTTTCAAGATCTGACGAGACAGGATTTGCCTGGACTACCCGGGTCAGGGCCAAGCTGACCATTCTCCATTTCCCCCTGCTGTCCAGATATGTCCCCCCCCCCATCTGCTAGCTGACAGCTGACAGTGGAGTGGAGATAGGCCAGGTCTACTTGACACTGGAAATAATGGTGCCATTATTATAGCCCATGGGCTGTAGAGAGGCCCTACTGTTTCCTCTCTGCAGCCATAGGACATCATGGCTCTATTATGGTCAGTGGCCAGTAGACCTGGCCTCTGTCCACCCCACTATCAGCTCTTAGTTATTACCAGCTGTTGGATGGTGCTTCTAGTCCCTTTAAAATTTAAGGGGACAGGAACTTCCGGTTTTCAGTGCGACGAGAACGGTTGGCTCTGGAACTTGCTTCCATGAAGCCACCGGATCACTGGATTCTTGAGACGAGTTTGGGGGCTCCCGAACTCCAAGGAGCTCAGGGCAAGGGGCTTGACTCAGATTCCCACGAGTGGCAGCAAGCGGGTGGAAGCCCGAGACCACCTCCAAGAACATCTCAGTGAGAGCATCCATGGCAACCCGGGGCGAGGGGGAAACAGAACATCTCAACAAAACAATCACCGTGAGTAACCTTAACTGCAGCATTACTAGGAATCCAAAATCAACACAAAACATTTTCAAAGCATACCCCCCTAATGTCTACGTAAACTGCACCATCAGATTAGGTTTACAGGCATCTGCAGCACCATTGCATCACATGTAGCATCATGACATCATCCACTGAGTCATGTTGGTTGCCTTGACCCGCTGGATTAAGTAGCAGTGTGTGCCGAGGTCAGGCAGGTCAAAGAAGAAGAAAAAATGGCACAGAGAAGAGCAGCACTGAAACCTTGTCAATATGTTTGGACCACAAATGTTGAACTTTTCCAAAAATGAGAGGAATTTCTTTAAACATTCAAAATCTAATCAGGGTATTTGTTTATAAAACACAGGACTGCAATTCTACACTCAAGATTCAGCAGTGATCAACCAGCAGACAATCAACCAGGACATTGTGCAAGACAAATTCCAGGCAGATTATGGCCCTGTAGTCTAGGCATTCCCCAGTGCATTTGTATTTTCATTCCATTTATTCCATTTTCCCAGAGCATATCAATGCACCTAAGCTCACAGTGCACCCCCACATATTTATCTATCTGTCTAAGTAGCAACTTTCTGCAAGATTAAGTCTCCCCTGCCTTGCTAGGGTTTCATGTTTCCTCTTGGATAAAACAACAACAACAACAAAGCTTCCTGATTCAGAAAGTGTTTCTGGCTGCTGGGTGGCAAAAGCCAGCACTGCTTTGAAGGATTTCATCACTCCGTTTGATAAAACTTGTCCAAGAAGAATGGGGATGCAGAGAGCCACAATAGTTGACACAAGCCCCACCACAAAATAACTGTCAGCACTGATCTTGTCTTTTCTTTGCACCTGACTGAGGGAGGTTTGATCCAATTGCACCCAGCTTGGTTACCCGTTTTCAATGCATAAGATACAATGGAAGGACATACAAGCCACTTCCACATGAATGTTTAAATATTGCAACATGCCAGTTCCCAGCTTTCCAACATTTTAAGGCCAGAGTCCAAATTATATTTTCCCTGGAAATGTCACAGGGCTGGCTCAAGAGGTGTGTCCCATGGTTCCCATGTGTGCAGGTCTGATTCAGATCGAGGCTTAGACCTTTGCCTGCTCGTGCTGTTTTCCCATCGTGCTATTTTCCCTACTGAGAGTTTCGTGGGTACTTTTGAACTACATGTTACCGTAATCCAGTGGGTCAAATAGCATGCTCCCTTGGGCCTTCAGGTTAGCAAAATGGCTGTGTTGGGAAACTCTCTCCCCCTTCTCCACACATTCCACAACCCTAATCCAACTCAGGCCTGAATGCACCTGGAAAGCATGGAACAACCAATGCATGCCACTTGAACTGACCTGAGACAGCACCAAAGAAAACATGGGTCTTTTCTGCATTCTCTTTTCCTCGCTTGTGTGTTGCTTCGGGGGGGGGGGTCTTTTCTGGACACGTTTTGTTCTCTTTAGTGGTCAATTTGATATTACATTGCCTTATGTCCAGTATAAAAACCTGCAGTTTAAAACTGCAGGGAGATATGCTGGACATACAGTGATGTAACATCAAATCAACCACTAGAGGGAGCAAAACACATCTGGGGGGGAAATGATGCAACGCGAGCATTCAGCTGAGGAAAATGAGAAAGCAGAAAAGCCCATTAAGATGTAGTTGAGCTCCTAATGGGATGGGGCTATGAAGAGAGGACCAAGCTAGATTCTCAATGGCTAGGGTAATTAGGGGCACATAACAATATGATTCCCACCCCCAGCAATGTCCTCAAGTAAACCTACAAGCAGGGGTGCTTCTGAAATCCTCCTTGTTTGAATTTCTCTGGAAGTCTTCAAATGGCCTCTGCCGAAAAACATCCTTACTGAATTTTCCCAGTACATTCCAGATGCCCTTACTCATACAACTGGAACTACCAGGCCAGCACACAAAATGCCACAACTGTTTTCATCATGAATGACTAAGGCTGCACCTTGATATTCACTTAGAAAATGGCAATCTGGTGCAGATCAACAAACTACCAAATCATCATCATCATCATCATCATCATCATCATCATCATCATCATCATCATCTAGCTGAATATTTACACTGGATTGGATCCTGCCTAGATTTCCACAGGCTATTCCTGTCTCCCCTCCCCCCCAGGAACAGCATTCCAGTGGGTGTTTTAGGCTGCCATGGAAGGAACTGATGAAAGTAATCACCCTTGTGCCCTCAGAAAATTAGGCAGGATCCAAGCCATTGGTGTTCTTCCGTCTTCTTGGTTGGTTCTTGAAAGCACATGAAATTGCCTTATACTGAATCAGACTTTTGGTCCACCAAAGTCAGTATTGTCTATTCAGACTGGCAGTGTCTCTCCAGGGTCTCAGGCAGAGGTCTTCCACACCACCTACTGCCAGATCTTTTAACTGGAGATGCCAGGGATTGAACCTGGGACCTTCTGCATTCCAAGAAGATGCTCTGCCACAGAACCACGGCCCCTCCTTCTTCCTCTTAGCTCCCTTTCCCTCCTTCTCTGCCCTTACTGTCCTCACCCTCATTTCCTCACTCAGTCGTCAATCCTATTGGCTGTACTGACTCATGTGGTTTTAAGGGGCATTGAAGGCAACCCCAGTGAAAATGGCATAGCGAGAATTACTGCTGAAATGCTGCAAATGTGTTCACAAGACCTGCAAAGTGACTGAAAACAGAAGGTGCTTTCCAATGCTCACGGTAAGTGGCTTGAATTTGGCCCTAAAACTAGCAACCCTAATATTTGCCTTAGACTGTCTCAACCCTGGATCAGCAGAAAACAAAATCTACCTTTGAATCTGTCCAGTCAGAAGCCGAATGTTGGCCAAATGTGAGATTTTCAGAAATATTCAAGTACCAGCAAAAGTGCTCTGTGGGCAAAAGAAATGCGGCATTGCCAGGGGATTCCCACCCTGCCTTACTGTTTATTTTCTGCAGTATTTTCCTCAGTTAATTAAAAATCTCTCTGAGCCTTTCAAATATGATGTTGACATCTGTTTTATGTAAAGGTTAATTGACAATTTTCAGTAACTGTCTTTGTGCTTTAATCCTGGTAGGCAGATAAAAGGCCTCTTAATTAAATTACCTGCCGAACACTCTTCAGTTGATAGTCTATTATATCAAGAGCTCCAACGACTTTTATTTCTTAAAACCGGAACTTGCTGATATATGGATAAGCAACGGCAGGGAGCGAGCTTGGAGTTCACTTCCCCAAACTGGGGTTTTGTTACAGCAATTACTGCGGCTACATAGGGACTGGCGGCAGGGTGCCCCATCTTTTATTTATTGCCACACAAACAGAACAAAAAGAAAGAGGAGAGAGATAGAACTGAGGGCGGGAGAGGTGCTGACATTTTGACCTTCCAAAGGAAGGATAGCTTTCAGAACCAGAGCAAATTCTGTCTATCATTATCCATCACATAATTTGGCAACTTAAGCCTTTATTTAGGGTCAGGGTGAACAACTAACTGGGGAATGACCTGGGGGATTGGGAATAAGAGGGGAAACTTTTATTCAAGGTATGAATACAGAGGTGGATCTACTGTGAAACTAATGAAGCTTAAGCTTCAGGGTCCCCAATCCCAGGGGGCCCCCTGAAGCAACTTTTTTTTTTGAGTGAATTCTTCAACAAAAATTAATGGAGTTTTTAAAGTATTTGTTATTAAAATAAGGCTATTTTAGTGACAGAGTCATAAGCCAGTGGGTTGAAGTACTTAATACTGACCTTAGAATGATGAGGACAATATTAAACTTATAATATTGCATTACAAAGATGATATTGACCACAAATTAGTAAACGAGTGTAACCAGTTCAAAGAATATTTACACCTGAGGAAATGTGCAGAAGTTCTTCAGTTTATTTATGAGCAACACCTGATGGAAGTGTTCTCTAATATTACTAGTGTGCTCAAGCTGTACTTGAATCTACTTTAGGAGGAGTCTGGCCACTGTGTTTCTATATGAATCTCTGTTCCAGGCATGCCTCCCTATTGGAAACATGTAAGTTGGAACAGCAGAACTGCCCTTCTACAGCAGAAGCCGACAGGAAGAAAATTAGACTTGAGCAGTAAATCATTCAGAGAGGCAACAAGCAGCCTCCTCTCAGTGTGTGTGCACTTTGAGCTGACAGAAAACTTTAATCAATTTATTTATTTCCCATAATCCACCAGCAGTTCTTTCACACACCCTAGTATGCCCCCACATACAATATGGTGTAGTGGTTGGATATTGGTCTAGGACCACGGTCCAGCGGGACCCAGGTTCAAAAGATCATATTACCATGATGTTCACTGGATAATCTTGAGCCTACCACTGTCTGTCACCTGAACCTACCTCACAGGAATGTCACAAGGATAACATGGGTGTGTGGGATATACCTATGCTCCTTGGAAGCATGACAGGATTTTAAAACAATCTAATAAATAGATAAATAACTGGCTTAAACCAACAGGCACAATGTGAATGAGCTAAAGATAAACTTGTTTTAGTCCTATTGTTATCAAATAGAAAGTTAGTGCTTCTCTTTTGACTGTTTATCTATGTACGTTTCAGAGGGAAGAACACTCTCATAACTAAGAAGGCACTGCAATGATAAAATGTCCACATTTTTCACTGTTCTCATGTCTAGAGGTCAAGCCAAGAACTGGGTGGGCTGTCTTTTGTCAGATCAATTGAAGAGGTTTATAGATAGATGACAGATAGACATATAGATGACAGATAGATGGATGGATGATAGACATACAGACAGACAGGCAGACACAGAGATATAGACAGATATAGTGTTAATTCAGATTTATTTATTTATAAGAAAAGATTTGCATAAACATACTGTTTCATGATGCAGCTGTGAGCAACTTCACAGGAATAACCCACCATAAATGTGTAGGTCTAAACAATAACTTCGATTAAAGTGTGCTCTTACTCTAATTAACAAAGTTGGCTGTCTCATTTTCCCTTTACTCCTGGCATCCATAGATCTATATTCAGAAATGTGGTATAATTTTGTCTTTTCTCAAAAATAAGACTTACATGTTTCACAGCAGGTGTTGTCAACCTTGGCAATTCTCCCCTGCAAAGAGAACACATCACATTTCAAACAGTCTTCATATTTTTGAAAACATATTTAATAGAGTTTTCTCTCTCTCTTTCTGCACTTTCCCTCTCTCACTGTTTCTTCTGCAATCTGTCCCTGGAACATGGAGCTGCTACCAAAAAAGGCAACTCCATGTCAAGTACCTTCAGCAATTCTAAAACATCTGGCATATATTCCCCCATGTTTTAATGTTGTACTGTGCATTTCCCTGCCAGCATCACTGGCTTCCACTGGTGGACCAATGACATTCTCAATGCAATGTAATGCTACCAAGAAATAGGATAATAGAAAGAGCAAGCAGAAGACCTTGACACGGGGCTGCCATTTTTTGGTGGCAGTCCTATGTCATTTGCAAGGTTTAGTCCTGCTCTAAGAAACAGGAGCTATCAGCCTGCATAGTCAGTCAGTCCTACAACATATTCCCCTCTACACTGCATGCCACTTTCACTTTGATTGATTGTCGGATTTTATGGCAGTGTCCAGACTGCATGCTGCTTTCACTTTGTTTGATCTCTCGGTTTTATGGTTGCATAGATTTATGGCCATTTTATGGCCATTCGGGGTGACTCTGTAGTCAGTACAGTGTTGGCCCCGGATATCTGAATGTGGTTTTGAGCCATATCTTTTTCTCTTCCAGTGTGGGTTGGGTAAAATAGCAGAGCAAATGCTAGATGCAGCTTGGGCCTGTGACTCAATGTAATCTGTGAAATGGCTTTCAGCCTCCCTGCAATCTGTCAGGAACTGTTCTCTCCTAATAAAACCAGCCACGAAGAAGAAGAAGAAGAGATTGGATTTATACCCTGCCCTTTACTACCCAGAGGAGTCTCAGAGCGGCTTACAAACTCCTTTCCCTTCCCCTCCCCACAATAGACAGCCCTGTGAGGTAGGTGGGGCTGAGAGAGCTCTTGATAGAAACTGCTCTTTTTCAAGGACAGCTCTTATCAGAACTATGGCTTGCCCAAGGTCATCCAGCCAGGTACAAGTGGAGGAGTGGGGAATCAAACCTGGTTCTCCCAGATTAGAGTCCGCGCACTTAACCACTACACCAAACTGGCTCTCATGCAAAGGCAGGTGGCTTACCTGTGCTTCAAGTGGTCATCTAAGCAGCCACATGCTTGTGACTCTGCACAGGAGAACTCTGGAACCTCCCAGAGCTCTTTCGCCAAGGAACAGTCAGTGAGGCTCCTCCCACTGAGCATGGGCCCGCTCCCTCTGTATCCACTTGGATGTCGGGGCAAATGCCTTCCTACTCAGTTCTTTCCAACTAGCCAAAGAGTTATCAGTTATCAATGAAAGGAGAACTGTATGAGCAGAGGATGAACATCAGTTGCAGTAAAGTAACCCACTTTTCTTCTTTGGGGTCACTGTGCAACCCCACAACTGGCATGCTCTTGATAGTAGATGCTGACTTTAATTAGGCAAAATGCTGTGCAGGAGGACAGCTCTCCCGAAGCCAGCATTTCCCTAAACGCTCATGTACAGAGCCTAACGTTTAACAAATGTGGACAATATGGCCCATTCAGCAACCCTGCAGAGAAGAGCGGGATATGTTCACCAGGAAAAGGCTGGGGGTGTGGACATACCTTGAATAGAGTGGCCCCTTAATTTTGTGGGGCACAGGCTGTTTCAACATCTAGTAATATAGAAAGTCACTGTCAAGGACACTGGGAAGAGACATGCTCAGCAGTATAGGGCACTCCACGGCAGGCAAAAGCTACATAGCTTTCAGGTAGCTGAGAGTTCTTCAGCCAGAGCTTTCCAAAGTTCCAAGGTTTGTCAGGAATTCCATTCTCACCTTTAGGATTCAACAAGCACTCTGCAATAATGATGTCGGCCAGAAAACTGATAAAGAACAATGGGTTTTCTATGCATGCTAGGGCTCTCGCACAGGTGGAAACACAAGGAAAAGACCACGGTATGCCACTTGTGGCGCTAAGTCAAACTTATTGTACTCCTCACTTGCAATTCCACTTATGCAAGATCTTGCACAACCTGGGCTATATTTGGGCAGGAACGCACAGAAATGGAGTTCCGTCTGGCTTCAGAGTTGGCCATGCCCACTACAGCCCAAACCTCTGCCTTCCCATGCCTGTCCAAGGGCCGGCTTGCCCAAGCTCCCCGCAACCGTAGGGTGCCCGAGCAAGCCAAGGGAAGGCAGTTTAAACTGCCTTCCCTTCCCTTCAAGGGGGGGCTTGCCCGGGCAAGCCAAGGGAAGGCATGGGGTGTGTGGCCTAAAGTGCTAATGCACTGAGCTGTCAGGGGTGTGCCCTAATATGCTAATAGGTTTCTGCTGCTGGGTGTGGCCTATTATGAGTTCCTGCCAGGCTTTTTCTACAAGAAAAGCCCTGCAACCAATTTCTGCGCACAGTAATATAAAGGGTGGAAAGTGCCAGGTGCTGCACGAGATCTTGCACAAGTGGCACTGTGCTAAGTCCATTCACATTTCCTCTTGCACATTGCTAGATCCAAGCCAATATCTTTTAGAAGAAACTCCAGCAGTTTATGATGCAGTAAGCTCCCTGGGGCAAGAACATGTCATCATCATTAATATACTCTGTAATGACAGATTAATTATATTGCTTGCGAACAAAAGTAAATGGGTAATGCTGCAAATGGCAAAGTTTGTTGCTCAGGTGATAAAGGCTTTGCCAAAATTATTAACTGTTAATGAGGCTAATGGATAAACTTACGTATTATGCAGGCTGACTGGTTGAATCTTCGCTGTTTTTAACTTAAATTGCTGTTGTTGTTACAATCTTAATAATTGTTTATAAAGTTGTCATGGATACTAAGAGTTTTGATTGTTACTATGATTTTTGTGTTACGGTTTTAACTTTTTGGGGGGTGTTTTTGGTGTTACTTGCTAAGGCTTTAAGCTAATGCAATAAAATTTATGTATGTATGTATACTCTGTAAAGCACCATTGTATAAACAAGAACCACAATCCGTTGAGACATGTTCTGTATGCCACTTGGTTTACGACTTACTCCTTCAGCCAAACATTTATTGGAGTCAAACGGTGGGCATCCGGTGATTCTCTTCTCCCATATGAACTCTCCTTCCTCATTGATTTTACAAGAATGGCTGTCACACCCATCTTGGATTGTCTCATTTGGCTGAAAAAGATTTCAGAGCCATTAGTTATACCAAAACAAATGTAATTTTAATGAATCACACTTTTCAAGAAAAAACCCTACAAAGACAGCGGATGAGGGTAGAAGTCCAACAACTGTTTTACAGGAGCACACTCCACCGCCCCACATATTTGATGCCATATGTGCTATATAGGGCAATAACCCATTATTCCATTTGTTTAAAGAAGTGTTGTATCTGAGCATGTGCACTTATGGCCTGTATAGTTAAGTTGTATGTATTGTGGATAGCATGCAGGGAACCATAACCGACTACATATACAGTATATACAGTGATGATGCTAAATGGGTGGTCTAATTTTTATTATACCTTATAGTAAGGGCCAAACTAGACAATACCATGGCCCCGATCTCAGCACAAGGATGCAGAATCATTTAAAAGCCTTTTTTAAATTACTGGAGGGGGGCATGGGGAACAGGGGGCACCTGTCTCCCTGTGCCATTTTCAAGCCCTGAAATACCATTTTGGTTGTTGAAAACAGCACCGGGAGGACTCAGGAGTCCCTCATGTGCTTCCCCAGTGCCACAGTCTCCATCAGGATTAGGCCTCCTCCGATGATTCTAGAAATAAAAAAAGGTCTAAAATGGCACCACATCCCTGTGCCAGACTCGAGGATGCAATATATTCTACTCTGGTCCTTACAAAGAAAGCAAGGCAATGTCTTTTGTGTATCAACTAATCTACATGGTTCTAGAATGGAATTGAAATTACCATGAGCATCTCTTCAAGGACAGGATGACTCCTTGATTAGATGGATCCAACAGACTTTGGAGGTTGGGTTTGACACTAATTTCCTGTCTCCTCCAGAGAGAAGAATCCCCCGCCTCCTTCAAGATGTGATGGTGCTAGGGAGACTTCCCCCCCCCCAAAACCCCACACTCTCAAGGTACCAAATTGACCACCATACCAATGCAAATGGTTGTTAAGAAACAAACAAGAGAATAAAGAAGACAATCTGATATGCAAACTTATTCTTTTTTTTTAATAGTATTTTTATTGGGTTTTCACAATCATGCACATATCCACAAACATATTATTAATACACGTCCAATTAATTTCTTATACGTTTTCTATATTCTAAATAGCAACATATCAACCAAATCAGCATAGATTTTCCTTCCAATCAATCACTGAATAATAATGATAAGATTTTCTAATACACTTCACTTCTTTATAAGTTACTAATTTCTGTAAATATAACATCCACTTTACATTCCTCATTGCTCCCTCCTAACAGGCTTCTAACAAACTTCCTACTAATTCCAACATCCTCACTTTCTGTAGTAGACATATATCATGTATTCCTTTGATTAATTTTTATTTTTATTATTATTTTAAATTATTTTTATGATTTTTTCAAAATTTCCTTGTTTATCTCCCTACACATATCAGGATTGTACTCAAACCGTCTCTAATATAGAAATTATAAATAAATTTATCTTTCACCAATAATCAATATATTCTCAATTCATTTCCTAAATTTTCCACTTCATATATTTCCCTTATGATCTGTCATTATAATTACACATTTTTATACAACACAATGCCTTCTCTGCTACTAGTACTATCTCCTTTCTCCTTTCTACCAAAACACATTCTATATACTTCTATCCTATTCACCCATTTTCTAGAATAAATAAGGGAGAAATACAGAAAAAACCAACAAACACCAATAACATGTAGACAAAAAGGACACAGCAAGACAAAAATTTAATAAGCTTTTTTCCATTAATTAAATTAAATATTACCACCCCCTTTAATTCATATCAGCTAGCCCTCACCAATTACGACTCTAATCTATTCAATTCATTTTTCCACAGCAAGATACACAAGTCTATTCAATCCATTTCTTCCATAGTCAAACCAAGAAAAGAAACAAACAAAAAAATACAACATTTTCATATAATTTAATTTGCCTTCTATGAATCTGCAGCTTTTTTCTCCGCAGCAGCATGTCTACATGATTTTTCCCTTTACACAGATGGTAATTCATTCTCAATCTCTCTTCAGTATTTTCCAAACAGTCATACTTCCAAACCATTTTGTCCTTTTTAGTCTTCCACTTAAGTCGTCCCTGTCTTTCCCTTCTCCTCTTTCTCTTCTTTTAAAACAGAATTCTTTGCACCTTTCTTCTTATCTTCTCCCTCTTCTGATGTCTCCTTTTTGTTGTTTTCTTATTTCGCTTTAAGGTCAATGAACATAACAATCCTGCACCTTCCTTCTCTTGCTGGTACCCACAAATTGTCTCTGGGCTCTGTACTTCGTGTTCTTGATTTTCAGCCCACTCTGGAATCCTAAGGGCTTCATGTAAATTTACCAATGCTTGTTGAATGCCCTTTTGGATTCCAACCTTCAATACACTTAGAAATTGTTCCACCGTCATCTCCTTAACCAGCATATTATCATCCATTTCCACTATAGATTCATTCATCTTTCAAAATTAAATAGCAGTCCGTTACCTCTCAATACGCCTGTCCCAAGAGAGTAACAACAGTTGCCCCGGAGTAAAGTCAAGATATTCCGCCACACTTAGCTCCTACCTTCTTTCTTCCTGGCCGCTTTCTTTTTCTTTTTTTGCAACTTTTAACTCGGGATAAATCTTCTTCTTTCAACCTAAATACGCCTGTACTTATAATCATCTCATATGTTGCTTTGTCGTCCATGCGAATTTACGTATAATAAAAACAAACGGGAGGCAGCAGCTGTGGACCATGTTCTCTCTCACAATCCACGCTTGCTTCGGGGTAAGAAGTGGACATCCCCCGCGTTGCCAGTCATGGGAGGGGCCACAACAGAACCCCCTGCTCCAGTTCTCCCCCCAGGAGACCTGGCGGGGCTCTCCCGAGCTCCGGGAGGCCCCAAAAAGCGCAGAAAAGAGTCGGGCATTTCGGAGCAATCCGAGCCCCGCCCGTCGCCGCGCTGTGCCGCCGGAAGTCGAGCGTCCTGATATGCAAACTTAGAAGACAGAAAGCAAACTTCCTCCCTGACTTGAAATTCCATTCAGCAGATGTCAGCAAGCTGCCATAAGATGCTGTCTTCATTTTCTGTGTTACTTTGCACCCTGCCCATCCCCCGTGTACTTTCCTGTGTAGGTGTTTACTGTCTTTTGTTGCTACATCTGCGGAACTGCTCAAGGTCAACCAGCTGGAGGTGGGATGGAGTGATGGCATTGCTTGGCTTATTATGTATATCATGCCTGTGAACTGAACTGGTGTTTATGTTACAGAACCGTTGTGTTCCCAAGGAATTGGGCGCTCGTTTTATCTGTCTTCCCGCCAGCAGGAAGTGGACTCATTGGTCCTTACCTGGCTCAAAGTTCCTTTATTATGTTCCCTCAGGGGGCTTGTAGTTATTCCTAACAATGCTTGTGTTCTGATCTATCATCGCTTTATAATAAACTCTACTTTGTTCTTCAAACGTGGATTTATTTGAATGCGTGGGGAATCGGACAGCAGACCACCCAACTGAAGTGGGGGGCACCACATCTCCCCTCCACTCCCCTTTTGGGAAGAGGATAAGCAGAAGAAAGAGTATTAGACCACAGTGTCTCCGATCTCTATCAGATCTGTTTGTTGCTGAACAAATCACAGAATCTGCTAAAGGACCTTCTGTCCAAAATCTGCATTGGCTGAAGCAGTGGTTTCCATCCAGTAATGATGTGCAGATATCAAGAGGTCACCTTGAGGAGATGCAGAATCAAACATCACTATGTGAGAGGTCCAGACCTCTAGAACTTGCTGTTCCTCTGCCTGCTGGGCCAAGACAATGCAATCACAAAGGCAATGATTCAGCAATGATTTGGATACCTTCCTTCCCTAGATATCAGCAATGAAAAAGGAGTCTAAAAAAATCAGAAACATGTCTAATGTAGATCCAAAGACCCGGGTGAATCCAGTGTAGTCCATTCATTTTTCTTTTTTTACTAAAGTATGAGGCAAAACAAAGCTACATGCAATTCCTAAGATCTTGTGGAAGGCTGAACTCATTAAGGAAAAAAAAGGGATATTTCTGGTATACCACTGTGTCTTATGCAATATGCAGATCTCTAGATGCAGAGACAGGTCACTGAGCTCCAACATCCTCCTACTTGACTGTGAATAGGAGACAAAAACTTAAACAATATGAGTCTAGTCTCAAAAGATATCTGAGTGAAAGTTTTGAGAATGACCTGAAGCCTCCATGACACAAACCAGTGGATGCAGCATTATGTTGGTGGCACAACATCGGAAGCCCCACATGTGGTTCGAGCAGGGTTGCCAGCCTCAAGGTGAGGCCTGGCTGTCCCCTGGAATTGTAGTTAATCTCCAGCCTAGAAAGAGCAGTTCCCCTGGAGCAAATGGCTACTTTGGACAATGGAATCTGTGGCATTATGGTCTTGCTCCTCCTCAAATCCTGCCCTCCCCAGGCTCCGCCCCCACATCTACAGGAATTTCCCAACCCACCACTGGCAAGCCTGGGCTTGAGGGCTCTGACCAGGCCTCTGCCTGACTCGTAGGCCTCTGTACCACCTGAAGAAGGAACGAGCCGTGTAAAATGGAGTCCTGTGATGTCACAATATACTTTCTCCTGTACCAACTTAAGAAGGCCTTCCAAGTATTTTCCCATTTTGACTTGGCAAAAGAATGTAGTTTTTCACTTCAACACAATAAAATATATACAAAAAATAGACTTTTTTCCGAATTCAACAATAATTTGAAATAATGTTAAATTGGTGGTAGACGGAGGTGCCCACCAATTCGGAGACAGATGTATGAAATCAGCTGACCTTCAAGTACCGTATGGTCCTATCCCTCAGCCGTATAGCGCACACCGTTGGCAAGCATTTACCACAGCAGGAGCCAGGGACGGTTTCCATTCTGTAATTCTGCAGTAAAAGAAAAACAACCATTACTCTGACTGAAACCTTGGAACTAACATAGAAAATAGGCTTGTTACGTATTAGCACAACCATACTATCCTAGTTTGCAATTTAGCATGTTTTAGCATGGAGTTCTCTCAACTAAAACATCTGTAAAGGGGTGCACATGTTGCTAAAAGATTAACAGCATTTGTGACAGGGGATGAGCTTCCGTGAGTCACTGGTCACTTCAAGAAGTAATCAGTGACTCACAAACACTCATCCCCTGCCACAAATTTTGTTAGTCTTTAAGATGCTGGTTGAGCAGCTCTAACCATTCCTAGAAACTGTAGATCTTGAGGCCTCAACCACACAAGCTTTGTCAGTCTAATGTTAGCTTCCACACACACTAAATAATGCACTTTCAATTCACCTCCAATGCTCTTTGCAAAAGGATTTTACTGTGTGAAATGGCAAAATCCACTTGCAAACGGTCCCTGAAGTGGACTGAAATGGCATTATTTAGCATCTGTGAAAGTGCCCTACACTCAGTGTGGGGGTTGTCTTTGAAAACAATTTGGAATCTTCTGCTAGTGAAGACAGAGAAAACCAGAATGTTAAAGGGGCTTTTTGATGTGCCTGTGGAAACAACAGTTTAGGGTTTCCAGTGTTGTGATGTGAGCTTATCCAAGGGAAATCTGTCTTCTTTATGATCACTAGATCACATTTCAGTTGGGCTAGCCACACACACACACAAAAATCTTAAGTATTTCTGGAGGGACTTATAAAACAATGTATCTGAGGGCAATATGGGAAGCTACCAAATGCTGACTCAGACAGGGTTGCTGACCACCATGTGGGACCTGGAGATCTCCCGGAATTACGACTGCTCTCCAGACTGGAGAGATCAGTTCCCCTAAAGAAAATGGCTGCTTTGAAGGAAGGACTCAGTTGCTGGCTAATCTCCCTCCCCTCACTAAACTCTGCCCCCCAAAATCTCCAGGAATTTCCCTACCCAGAGGTGGCAACCCTAAAGTTAGACCACTTGTCCAGATCTAACTGGCAGTGGCTCTCCAAAACCTCAGAGGCAAATCTTTCCCATCCTCACCCTGCCTGAGGTCCTTTGAGATGCTAGAGACTGAACCTGTGACTTGCTATGAGCAACACTCAGGGTTTGCTACTGACCCTCCCAAATTACATCTTAGTGTTTATAGCTAAGGGTTTTTAAAAAGTGTACATGGAGTTTGCAGAGTGCAAAAGAAAAAGCCCATGCTTAGAATAACGTGTTATCTGATAGGTTTGTCACAGTTTTCTGTGGACCACGTGGCTGCGCATCTGGCTTCGCTGCCATGCAACATGCAGGAAGGCCCAGACTCTGATTTATAATCAATTAGTCAAAAAGGATTGCATTATAGCCTTTGAATGCTCTTTGAAGGCTGTGTAAAATTATATTATTCACAGCAAAGGCATTTTATATCTGGAGCTGGTATGGAAACTATTCATACGATCCAAGGCATCGCATAATATGAGATAAGAGACACAGGGCACGTCTTCATGACTTTTGGCAAAGTTTATGAAGAAAAATATGTGTCTTCTAGCAGAGGTGTGAGTGCAAAGTACTGCACACACCACAGTTTGGAATGGATCCCAGACAATCAAAAGCAAGTAGGGCTGGTCAGCCATAACATTCTCCCTTACCTTGGGGCAAGGTTTGCAGGTAGTTTTTTCACATGTCAATTTGTATTTCAGAATCAGTCCCCTTTGTAGGCTGCACATGCAGTCAGTGCATTGATCCAGTAACATACTTTTCCCTGGCTGGAAGATCAGAACAGGTTTGCAATTTAGCGTGATAGCTGTTCCTCATCAAATACATCTAAAATGGACCATTCTCTACCAGATGAACAAAATTAAACTGTACAGCCTCCAACTTGCTTTCCCTGGACAAGCCAGGCGTAAACACTTCCATATTTAATTTGATCTGAGGCCCTTATCCATCTTTTCCAGGTTGAGCAAGAAGATAATGATGTAATGTCTAAGAAATGAAATCCTGGTGCCATTCAGCAGCCAAAAGACAAAATGAATACTCAGATATTAAAGGGCTACATGGCCATCCCTATCCCAAATGGTGCTGATGTAAAACTCTGACTTTTCTCCAGTCTACCAAGCAAAAATTATCAACACAGCTTTTGTGCCTGTTTGTTTCTTTAAGAAAGTACTATTTCCCTGCTTATAGTCTATGAATATATAACAGACTAGGGCCTTCAGTCTCTCTGAGCCCACAACCTGTCTAGCCAAAATTGAATCAGAGGAGGGTCCACTTTTCATGGTTTGTCCTCAACCAAAATGACACACAGGGTGTTAATCCAAATATCCTCTGATTGAGTCTTCCTCCAATTTAAGTGGCTTTTCCTCCAATGGAAGAGCCACTGACTGACTGACTGACTGACTGACTGACTGAATGAATGGATAAACTTTGCTCAGTGGAGGGCAGGATCCACCCTATTATATGGAATAGGGCACCTATTATATAGAAAAGTATGCAATGGTTGTTTAACAGCTTGTTTTAAAACAGAAAAGAATTCAGAACAGACTTTTGGGTTACTGCAACACACGGTTGTAACATGTAGATTTGGCCTTAAATACACAGAAAAACTCTGTCATGGACCACTGCCTTGACATGGCAAGGGGGCCTGCGTGGTTCAGTGAGGCTGCGGACTATGCCATGGAGGGCCACTCAGGATGGACAGGCCACAGCAGATAACTCAGACAAAACGTGACCCACTGGAGAAGGAAATGGCAGCCTATTCCAGTACCTTTGCCAAGAAAACCCCATGGACAGTAACAAAAGAGAGATGATGCCGGAAGATGAGCCCTTCAGGTCGGAAGGTGTCCAATATGCTACTGGGGAAGAGCAAAGGGTGAAAGGAAAGTCCGATGCTGCAAAGAACAACACTGCATAGGAACCTGGAATGTAAGATTGATGAATCAAGGTAAGTTGGATGTGGTCCAAAATGAGATGGCAAGACTGAACATTGACATCTTGGGAATCAGTGAACTAAAGTGGATGGGAATGGGCGAATTTAACTCAGAAGACCATTACAGTTCTATGAAGACCTACAACACCTCCTAGAACTAACACCAAAAAAAATTGTCCTCCTCATCATAGGGGACTGAAATGCTAAAGTGGGAAGTCAAAAGATAACCTGAATAATGGACAAGTTTGGCCTTGGAGAACAAAATGAAGCCGGGCAAAGGCTAACAGAGTTTTGTAAAGCGAACACTCTGGTCATAGTGAACACCCTCTTTCAACAACCTAAGAGGTGACTCTACACATTTACATCACCAGATGGACATCACCGAAATCAGATTGATGATATAATTTGCAGTCAAAGATGGAGAAGCTCTATACAGTCAATAAAAAAAGACCTGGAGCTGACTGTGGCTCAGATCATGAGCTACTCATTGCAAAATTCAGGCTTAAACTGAAGAAATTTGGGAAGACTACTAGGCCATGATGAATATACAGTGGAGGTGAAGAATAGGCTTAAGGGACTAGATTTGATAGACAGAGTGCCTGAAGGACTATGGACGGAAGTTAGTGACATTGTACAGGAGGCAGCAACCAGCACCATCCCAAAGAAAAATAAATACATGAAAGCAAAGTGGCTGTCTGATGAGGCTTTATGAATAGCAGAGGAAAGAAGGATAGTGAAAGGCAAAGATGAAAAGGAAAGATTCACCCAATTGAATGCAGATTTCCATAGAACAGCAAGGAGAGATAAGGAGGCTTTCCTGAATGAACAATGCTAAGTAATAGAGGGAAACAATAGAATGGGAAGGACTAGAGATCTCTTCATCATGACAACTGGAGAAATCAAGGGAACATTCCATGCAAAGCTGGCCATGGTAAAGGACAAAAATGGTATGGACCGAACAGAACCAGAAGAAATTAGGAAGAGATGGCAAGAATACACAGAAGAACTATACAAGAAGGACCTCAATGTCCTTGACAGCCACGACAGTGTGATCACTGACCTTGAGCTAGACATCCTGGAGTGCGAAGTCAAATGGGCCTTAGAAAGCATTACCAACAACAAAGCTAGTGGAGGTGATGGTATCCCAGCTGAGCTATTCAAAGTCTTAAAAGATGATGCTGTTAAAGTGCTGCATTCAACATGCCAGCAAATTTGGAAAACAGAACAGTGGCTACAGGATTGGAAAAGGTCAATTTACATTCCAATCCCAAAGAAGGGCAATGCTCAAACTATCAAGAATAGCAAGCTGGGACAGTTCAGCTCAAGATTGTCCCTAGACAGGGAGGTATCTTGAAAAGATTTACGATGCCTACGATAGAAAGCAGTTCACACATTCAGCCATTCACCCCCCCTCAGGAATTTCCCCCTTACAATCATGGCAAACTAAAGACAGAGATTGACACACATTGTAAAGATCGGAACTTATAGATTTTGAGGCTTTCATTTAGTGCAATCAAGCTATAAGTTTTTACGGGTTAGTTGCAGCCTGTTGGGGCTGAGCATTAATTAAAAGCACCTGGTGGCCTTGACCAGCTGGCATGGGATGCTTTTATCTGGTCGCCAGCTAGCAATGGGAATTAACCAACAATGCCCTAATTGGCTAACAGGGGTCTTGAGGGCTGACAAATGGGAGAGGTCAGTCAGTCTCAAGAGGCTAGCCATCAGGATGGCAGCAATATCAGAGAAGATTCGGATCAAAGCCTGGGAGGGCTTCAAGAAGAATACCAAGGACTCTTCCCATCAGAATGGACTCTCTTTCTTAAGCCTTCAGGTGAGACAGCTGAATTCTAAGATTACCCGCACAGAAGGAAGCCTGCAAGTATTTAGTGGTTCAGAGACTCAGCCTCTGCCCAGCACAAGTATAGTGTTGTTGTTATTTTGCCAATGTTGTGATTTGTGAGTTGTTTCTGCCCAGCAAACACTCTTCAGTATTTGAATGATTTGAATAAATGCAGAGAGACTTCTTTTTAATCTGCTGTGTCAGGAGTATTTGCTGGACTTTCGGTGGATGGCTGCACACTGAGCAGTCGCACCTCCCGGACCTCCTGGGGGTGAAATTGAGCGCAGGAGGAAAGGAGGGGGGGCGATGTATCACACTCCCCCCAGGAGACTGGCAAACGCCTCCTGGCCAAGGGACTTCTGAGAGGTTGCCTCTTCCCCAGCATGATGCTGGGGAATCGAGGCGCTTCTCCATCTGTGTCCGTTTAGAATTAGTGAAGCTGGCCGGGACAAGCGCAGGAGATCGAGCGGTGGAAAACGAAAGTAAAAGAGGTCGGATGGCCAATAATGAACGTGAGTCAGATGGTAGCGATTTGATAAACTAAAAAGAAACCTCCCCCAAAACCCCATGGACTAGAGGGCAAAGCGAGCGGGGGAGGGGCCCCTCCCAGGCGCACAAACTCTAAGCAAGATCGGGGGGGAGAAGAAGCAAAGCGGTTAAAAAAACTGCTGGAAAGACTTACCAAGGCACGCATGAGCGGTGGAGGACAAATTCAGAGACTTTTAAAAGTTGGGCGAAAGTAAATAATCGAAAAAGATGGCGGGGAAGAGGACGGAGAAGGAGAAGCTTTTACAAACGAAAGGAGCTGAGAGTCCAAGACCGGAAGGAACCACTGAGTTGGCTAAAATGATGGCAGAGTCCCTGCGCCCCCTGCTGGAGCAGATGACTAACCTTCAAGAGCAGCTGTCTAAAATTAATTAATGCATATCTACCCAGCAGACACAAATCAACGATACACTTAAAATCCTGGACCAAACAACAGAGAAAGTGAAAGAGGTTGACGCCACCACACAAAAGGTGAAGAAAAAGGTGTATAAATTGGAAAAGAAGTCAAACTCAACAGAAGAACAGCTTTTACAAATACAAATGGAAAAAGCAAATCTGGTTCTTCGCTTCCAGGATGTCCCAGAGAGCAAAGGAGAGAATCTAAAGCATATGATGAGTGAAGCATTGGCCCCAGTGACAGATTTAAAGGCCGACTATTTTATGAGCGAAATGGATGTGGTCTACAGGTCCTATTCCATATACATAAAGAAGAATAATCTGCCTGGGGAAATTGTGGTGAGATTCTCGAAGAGGCACGTAAGGGATTGTATCCTGAGAGCGACGGCAGGGACACCTTTGAGAATTGAGGACAAGACTATTCAGATTTTGAAAGATATTCCATTTGAAATAAGACAACGGAGAAAGAAGTATAAAGATTTAATCCTTTTTCTTCAAACCAACGCAATTGGCTATAGGTGGTTATACCTTTAAACTCCAAGAAAAGAAAGAAAAGATTGACTCTGTGGCAAAAGCACGAGACTTTTTGAGAGCACAGCGGGGTGAGCTAGAGGAGGTGGATAAAGAAGAAAAGGACAGTAAGTCCAGTGGCGAGCTGGACTCGGGGTCCTCTGGAGAGGACTCTCTGTCGGAGAAAGGTGCAGCGGCTCCTAAAAGTCCTTACAAACTGCGGAAGAGTCAAGACAAGAAGAAATGAAGGTTGAAAGACTCTGAATGGAACTCTGATAAATAAGATGTTTTAACATGGAGATGCTAACGGAATCTTTCCTAACAGTAAAACTTAAGATTTAAAAGTTATCAAAGCATGACTGACTAAGTTCATAGAATGTAGCGTTTAAAGGGATGGTATAGTATATAAGCTATTTTGAAGATCTCCTCTCTTTGGTTTTTAGTCAGTAGTGGTTATCTTTACTTTTCTCCCTATCTTTACTTTCTCCCGGGGGGGGGGGCAAAAAAAAGAAGGAGCATTTGCTGAACATCTATGTACATCCTCAAAG